GTTTCAGATTGGTTATGCAGTTTGGGAATAGAGTGGTGAAAGCGGTGCTGAGAATGGGACAGTTTGTAGTGTTATGCCTTATTACTCAGTAAGAAATAAAATGGCAGGTTTCAATCCAAGTAACAGAACAATTTTTATCCCACCCACGTACTGAGACTCAATTATAATCTCACTTACATACCAAAGAAACACAAATAGCTTGATACTGGGTACCAGCATTTGGTTGCTTTTGTTCCATACAAACTTTTTTTGAACTGAATAGTTATTCTTTGTCCACTCATATGGTCAAAATAACCATGAAATAAACCTGTCAGTAAGAAAGACATGGGGAGCGAAAGTAAAAAATATATTAGATTTTTTTTGCATCCATAAAAAAGATGCACTTATACATAATATGTATATTGTATATGTATGTGTATATACATAATATGTATGCATATATGCAAAATTTAAGCAAACCTTCTGAAGAAGGAAATCATATTTTCCTTCTTCACTTCTTCAGTGTTTTGTTTTTGAAGACAAGTATACATTTGGAACTCTTTTTTCTTTATGTTTTTTTTTTGCTTTCAAATATTCTTGCATTTATGTTTCTCACTTTCTACACCTATATAGTGTCCTTTCTCTTTTAATTTTATATTTTCTTCCTGTCTTAACAAATTAGTTTATTTCTCCTTCTTGAGCATCTTTTCCTTTATCTTTTTGGTTTACGTTTGCTTTTCTTCTTTTTCATAGTCATTAGTGCTTAATTTCTAGTTTGCCTTCCTCTTATCCCAAATAATAGTAATACAGTTCTAAATCCACTGAGCTCACTACAAATCTTTCAATAGTAATCATTCTTCTGCTACCTAGCTTGACTGACTTTCTTCCCCTAGAGAGGATCTCATTCAATCTTCCATATCTGGTGCAGCGATCTGCATATAAATCAACTCAAGCCCTGGTTTTCTCCTAAATACACAAAAACTCTAAAACAAGCAAGCAAACAAAAAAAAAAAGCTTTTATGCCTTCTAGCTGTACTATAATTCTCTTCCTAAATATATATATGTACTGAGACTTCAGTTAATATTCTTCAGGGATACTCTTCTCTGACTTCAGAATTGATCTACAAATGTTTTATTTGTTGAATTTTTTCACATCTGTGTTAAAAAAATGGACAAAGTTGATATAGGCATTCATTTTTTCAGTGTTTTTTAGAAAGATCATGAATAGTAGACATTTTGTCTACTAATACCTTTAACACTTAGGTAAGTATTTTATGGTGGTAATATATAAACTATAATCTTGTGATTTAAAAAACTGCAGAGGTTTTTTTTCTGGTGTTGTTTTTCGTTTGTATTAGTTTTGGTTTTGTTTTCAAATTACACTGAATTATAACATACCATCTAGTTTTTGTGCATAATTTTTTATTTTCTTTTGTAAGACAAAAATCATCAGGCCATTTCATCCTTATTTTTGCTGCGAGGCATATAATTGTTTTTCACTTCCACAAACTATTTTGACGAGGTGCAGTTAAGTAAAGGTTTTAAAGAAAATGTAAACTGAAGAACTGTTGATCAATGGCTGATATTTCTTGGCAATTATAATCAAATTTTGAAACAAAAAGGCTCTTCTCATGTTTTTAATAGTTCTAAGACTCTCCTTGCTTTTATGATACGTTATTCAGGCTTTTTTTTTATTAGAGTTCTTGATTCCTGGAACTGGAGTTTTTGTTGGTTGTTTCAGTCAAGCAGACTAATATTCAGAGCAATGTATTTGAAAAGTGACTTAAGTTGTTAAGATGTTTGTTTTTTGTGTTGACTTTAATAAAGTACAACGAATAGGTGAAGTTATTCCATATCCATGTATTTTTTTCCATAAAAAATTAAATGAGTAATAAAATAAATGAGAAATGTTACAATGTTGCAATAATTCAACGAACCACTGAATGTACCATTCCCTCAAGAAGTACCATTCTCTCAAAATGGGGTTCACATTCCCCCAAAAGCTAATCCAATGAATGTGGTTTTTAATCATTCTTTTTCTTTGGTCTAAGGTTGAAAAAGATTCTGAAAGATTCTGTAGAACAGCTTACCAGCTTACTATTGAGTTCATAGATGCTAATAGTTATAAAAATCTGTTTGCAGTGTGGAGAATCAGATTTAAAGCTGATTCTGGTCTACCACAGGTAGGCTGGTCACAGTATGATGTGACTACAATAAAAATAAATAATCAGTTCCATCTCAGCCAAAAAAACTTTGAACACGTGCTAAAAAGTATCTCTGCAGCTAATCAGAAAATATGGTCTGTGTTTGTAGCTCAGTACATTCTCAAGAGAATAATCTAAAAGATAAATGCTGCACTAAATCAGGGCTGAAATATTTGCTACTCCTACTGCATCTTGCAGTCATAGGTAAGAATACAACAGCGACAGTCTCACACACATTCTATAAAACAAGTAAAGACCATTTTACAGATGGAAAAGGTTGGCATAAGGCACATTTTCATTGCAAAGAAATCTCATTTTATTTCAAGTTAGAGAAATTCAATACCCTTTCTCTAAATGGAAAATGTTCACCAAAAGAAGGTTATTGTTGTCTTCTGCGCTACTGTTGGTACTTAAAACCAATGCTTACTGGCCAACCTGTGTTTTTTGTCAACTACTGTCAGCAAAAGAAAATCAAGTTTATTTGGAAGTGAAAACACACTTCTATGGAATTGCAGTCCTCTGATATCATCCTGCCCTGAGTTTCAGATAAGAACTTGTTTTAATGTACTAAGTAAACATCTTTGATTTGCAACAAGATATATAGTTATGTTTCTTGGGATGTGTCATGTTTGTTTAAATATGTGATGTTTGATGAATGGCCTTGACAAGCTGAAGACTATCTGTGACAGTTTTGCCATCTGACATTGTGGGCAATTCCAAAATTCTTGGTGAATGCTGCTTTAAGAATAAGTGGTGATGGTGGTGATGGCAATGATGGTAATGAAAAGCATAATAGTGAGATAAATCCTTTGCTTATCAATTTAATCAGTAATTTATTTTTTTAGAACAAAAAGTAATACTGTTACAAGTTAGTTAATTGTGTACATTTGCAAGTCAGCAAACATGACTTCATGAATGTAAAGGAAAATAATGTTTAGGTCCTGTGTTTTGGACATGGTTGTTTTCTGAGTTATTTGGTGTTATACTACCATGCTGATAAAAGCAATATATGATACAATTTGTAGTAGATTATCAGCAATACTATGGTATATTTTGTTAGAATTATGAAGTGTCTGAACATTTTGCTTCTAAACCGTTGCTGACTAGTATAGATGCAAAGTTTTGGTGAGACATATTGGATTTATAAAACAGCAAAGTGAGAATTGAAAGGGCTACTGTATTTATTGTGCTATTTACTCTTTAGAATGATAATTCTGGACCTCGGTAGAAGAGTATAGCAGAAGCAGTGTCTGGCTCAACATACTAATTTATATAATTATTTCTAAACAAATAGATTAGTAAGAGACATAAGCCTCATATAATAAAAAATAAATAAATAAATTAATTAAAAAAAAAAAACAGAACAATGTGTGAAATCCTCATGATACAAGAGTATGAACGTACTATTAGCTTATCCTTATCCATTTTTTCCACCTTTATGCCCTGTAGTAGTAGCAACGACACATAAACATACCAAGGTTTCAGTAGAAAAGTATTTCTGTTTTTTTTTTTTTTTAGTTTTATATTTGTGTGTGTGGTTTTTGTTTGTTTGTTTGTTTGTTTTTCCCAAAATCTATCCATAGCACAAATGCTAAAGTCTTCATACAATGTAACGAATGCTTTCTTCAGTCTATGTTTTTACTGACTTCCAGCAGAACTCTGTGGGCTCAAAATATTCGCAAGTGTTATGACATTTCAATCCCTGTGTAATTCAGTATTTTTCATAAGTGTGGCCTTAAATGAAAATGAGAACGCAATAGCTTTATATTCAGATTGGTGGAGCATTCTAGAGTTCAATTCTTGTTTCAAGGGCAATATGCTCTTTTTAAAAACTTTAAAATATGAAAACATTTTTAATACATTTAGGTTATTTTTGGTGGGAAACTACTTCTGTGATATCCTACTACCACACTATGGGATTATTCCTTTACAAATTTGCAGATACCTCAGAAAGGAAGCATGCACTCTGCTTAATTTTATATTATCTTAAAATTAATTTATCTGAAATATATTTTTAAAGTATTGTAATACTGTTGGAGCAGAGTTCTGTAACAAATGATGTTGGCATTTAATTCTACCAGAACATAAATTGTGGTCGTGAGATAAAATATATCTAAAAAAAGTATATAAATTCTGTAAGACAATTAGTGTGACAAAGACAATTTCTTAACAATGGCAAACGTGAGCATACAGAAAGCTATCTGATTTCAGGTAAATCTAGTGACTTACTCAGTTGTATTTCTTTAGAGGTGTAAGCAACTGAAGGTTTGTTTAGTATTTCCAAGTTTTGACTGTGCAATAGGAAGGGTAGGATCATGTTGCATATAAACTGCTGGCTATAATATTTATATAATATAATATTTAGGTTTTCTGCTGGCTCAAGTGAGAGTCTGCTGTGATGCAAGCAATGATTTCTCAAATGGTGATTACTAATGGAACTTTCTAACTTTGCTAGATTCACTGTCTTGGTACATCTGCTTTTATAATAATTACTTAATTTTTACATATTCAATTCCACCTATTCTCTGTGACTGAGATAGACACACAGTGTATGTAAATCTGTGCAAAACTTTTGCTGACTGGGATCGGAGCAAGATTCAGGCAACCTGTACTGTAAAGGTACTTCGAAGGACTTTTACACACCAGCATGATTAAAGGCTTCAAGAGTAAGGTAGTGGTGGGAAAGCAAACATGAAGAAGATGATGCATCCTAATCTAAGATGACCACTCTTCCTTGTGGAAAGACTTAATCTATTCAGATATATTTTTGACCCACTGAAAAATAGAGCTTTCATTTTAAATTATTTTCTTTTGCAGGTCATACATATGGGATGGGTACATGAGAGACTTGAAGGAACTGATTCATCTCAGCTCTACAAATTCAAGTTTCTGGCATTGAAGGGTTCATCCTTCTACATTTTCAGTACTCCACCGGTAAAAAAAAAAAAAAAATTGTTATAGTTCCATTGTATATGGAAACCTGTTTGTTATGTCTGGGTTTATTTTTCCTTACTAAGAGAAGTTGTCAGCTGAGTTTTCAAAAGCAGTTAGAGCCATAAGTGCCACTGAATTTCACTAAGCTTTAGATAGTTAACATCTTTCAATGTCCTCTTAAAATCATACCATATCTGGTTAGCTAAAAGAATTCCTTATAGGGAATATGCTGTTTTTACTTTTTAAAGTTTTTAAGTTCATATTTTTCACTGGTTATTTACAGCCAAATTTTTTTATCTTACAAATTCAAAGACGTTTTTGGAGATGCTAGTAACTCCTTCTTCTTAAAGACAAGACGCATCATGAAATGCACCATCCGTACTAATAGTAGATGTGGATTTTGTGTACAAACAAGGGATTGAACTGTTAGAGAGAATCCAATGCTAAGTGTACAGTTTGAACAAATGACAGAATCTTGCTTTGATAGTTTCTTATTATATAGTTAGTAAAGAGAATTCTATTTCACAACAGATGACTTACCTAATATTTCTGGAAAAAAACAAAAGAAAAAAAAATCACCTTAAGAAAATTAATTTACAAGAATGGAACAGAAATGAGTTGTAGAATTCTAAACTCTTAAAAAAGTACCCATACTTATCACATTGTATTTTTTTATCCTTTCTTTTCTCTCCAGAAAGCCTTTGCTTTTTTAGCTAATCAAAAAGAACAATATGTAGAATTGGAATGCAATTTCAATTAAACAGCTCTGTAACATTATTACTCAGAAGGTGGTCAATCTCCCAATTTCTTCAGCTGATCCAAAAAAATCTCATCCTTTACATGTATGCCGTCTACTTTACCTTACTGAAGTACAAACTTCAAACCGTATTTATGAACCTTAGGACAAACCAATAGGCAACATTTTATCTTTCTCTAGATTGTAATTCTAAAACCAGGGATTCCTATTAACTTCAAACATTATTTTTAAGTGGCCAAGTAATAGTAATTTATCACATCTGGGAAAAGGTTTTGTGTTTTTTTTCCCCTGCAAAAAAAATATTACTCTGTATGTTAAGTCAATAAACTAAATTTTGATTCAATTACTGCAATCCAATTAAAATGCAAAAACAAACCAAAAATATTAAACAAATAAATAACACACCACATAAATGCTTTTCCTTTATAATTTTTTGTTATTGCTTTTAGTCTTGTTTTTGAAGAAACATTATCAATATAATTAAAACTATCCATCTACATGATACTAATTGGGGATAAACTGCTTCATTTATCATGTTCAGCACTTTACAAAAGAACAGACAAATGAGGATGAATGTTTAATAGTATTTTACCATGTTATTTATCAGTATCTACTACATTCTATTTTGTTTCTGTGCAAAATTTTTGTAGAAACAATGGCTTTTCAGAAAAATGCACAAAGGTGACCCTTTAGTCATTGTTTTATGTCACATCAGTAATCAGATACACTAGTGAGTGTAAAATATTAATGACAGAGCCTATTAATAATAAAAAATCTGTAGACCATTGGCCTTGTTATTTAATCATGCCACTGATTTATTGTATCGGGACAAAGCAGGAAATTAGAAGTTTCCAGCAACCACACAAGTTGAGAATTCAAAGCTGAATCTAAGGCCACACTTCGAAGTTGATTATCAGGGCCCTGAGGGCACCTCCAGCCCTGACTGTCCATGACAGCCAGGACTCCATGTCAACACCTAGGGCTGTCAGACAATGAGGCTGCAGCAGGGCCAGTCTCCAGCTCCCCACAGCCCTGCCGTGTCCAGTGATGGCCTCACCAGGCCAGTTCCACCCATAGGCCTGACCTCTGCCCCATCCCCAGGGAGGTGCCCAGTGACCTGAGGCTTCTACAGTGTCCTCAGCTGCCTGGCTTCTGCCTCGGTGTGGTTGGAAGGGACTTCCCCCTACAGTGCAGTGTTCTGTATCTGTGGCTAAATTAGAGCTGATAACACACCCATGTTTTGGCTGTTGATGAGCGGTACTTGTATACCATCAAGGCTTCCTCTGTTTCTCACATTGCGTCCTCAGCATGTAGGATGGAGGTGGGCAAGAGTTTGGAAGGGGACACAGCTGGGACAGCTGACCCAAATTGGACAGAAGAGATACTCCATACTATATAACTCAGCAATTAAAAAACAGATTTTGTCTTTAAAAGAATAAGTTGCTTGGACACTGAGCATCGGTCTACTTGGGCAGGTGTGGTGTGTGTGGTGTATGATTGTATTGTTGTTGTTTTTTGTGTGTGTGTGTGTTTTTCTTTTGCACTTGTTTTGTCTCTCTTTCCACCAATTATTGAACTGCCTTTGTCTTAATCTGTGAGCTTTCTTGGTTTTGCTCTATTCTCCCCCTTCTCCTGCTGGAGGTGGGGGTAAGTGAGTGAGCAGTTGGATGAACGCTTAGCTGTTGACCGGGGTCAATCCACTACAGGTGTCATATACCCTGTCTTGAGAGACCCTGCCCTGCCAAACCCCAGGGCGAGTTCCCACAGCCCAGACGCTGGTGATATGTCATGTCCCAGCTTTGTAGCTGGAAACATCGGTTGTCAACAAAGCCATGCAGTGAGCTGCTTTACTATTTTCAGACATTTTAATGGTGCTGATCTTATTGTTACTTCTACTGACTTATTTTTTTAAATATTGGATTGTTCTACCACAAAAATAAAAATGTTTTAACATTAACATAGTAGATAAGATTTTTCCACTATGTTTTATTTTGAGATGTTTCTATGGTGGTATTGCTATTTGCGTACTAAACCACACAAAGTAGATGTCGTACACGTCATAGTTATCTTTAATTGTAATTACCTTACTTGCAACTTTACAACTGCTTATAAAAAGATCTAGTGCAATTTTTACTCTTTTTCTTTGTGTGTAAAAGATCATGAATGTAAATACAGCTGCTAACTTTCATAAGAATGAAAAGATATGGTTAACCATGCACAAGAACCAAGAAAAATGTAGAGCAAATGTTGATTTTATAACATGAAAGAATCTATGTAAAGTAGTCTATTTTTACTCTGTTTCAACAGTATCTTAGATGCTGTTTCTAAAAATGTAGAATCTTCAGAATAAAAGTAAATGTCAACAATGTTGCTCACTAGAGAAAGGTCTTCATGCACCCCTGAAGTGGCTCATCTAACAGTATTTAAGAAATCTGCAGATTTAATTTACAGATTGTATCTGGATTATGGCACATTTCTGAAAACTATGCATATGAAAAACACCACAGCATAAATAGAATTTGTTATTTTACATATGTTAATATACAAGCGGTATTTTAGTACATTCTAAAAGCATCTGATACATTTCTGTCAATTTTCAGGTCTTGAAAATGTTCTGAATTCATATCCTAGAAGAAATTGTGGAGACATCATTCAGAATTATCATTTAAAAACAAACTTTTTTGTTTCTTTAATTGAAACTTTACAAAAAAATGAAATGTTTTGTTTTTATTGAATATGTGCTATATGTATGGGAAGATGGTACTGAGTGATTTTTTATGTCATACTCACAAATCGATATTGTTTTTCAATTCAGGTCTTAAAGTAGCCATGCCTTTGGAGTTGTTATGTTGCTCTTAATTACAAAACTGTCTTTTTCATTGTGATTAAATAGTACTGAAGTGATTTATGTGAAGGTAGTTAAGCAATTACTGCATATCCTGCGTTTTAAGTTTAAAGAAAAGGAATAAATGCAACAGTACTGTGTAAGTAACAGAAATAATTATTAAACTAATATAGAATATTTTATCAGTGTTCCATCTTTGAAAAACATTGCAGAAAAGCATTCAAAATTTAATTAGCATGACTGTTATCTGTAGGTTCATGCCAGTGCTTTGTATGCTCATATAACAACAGGAAAGAGGTGGCAATGAGTTGTAGGGCATAGACTTAACCATGGATGCTTTTGGTGAACTTTCTAACTTTATGTACAAATTCTTTATTTTTTTATTTATTTCTTCACGTCTTTATTAGGATCTGATTGCTCTTTAGTGTGTGTTTTGTAGCATCTAGTTTGACTTGGTTTACAGATCCTTAGGCTTCTTATACTGCTATATCACAATTTGTCTCAAGAACATTTCTTGATATATTTTTTTCCATTTTAATATCTTTTTTTATAATTTTTGAGAATTAGACTTGGCTCATTTTTTCGATTGGTGAAAAGGCTAGTGAAAAGAGCTGCTGTTGACCAGATAATGTTCAATCTTTTGTCTCTATCATTTTGGTATTTCTAGGTGAATTGGATGCTTTGAAGTGTGATACTCCTTTAAATGCAGCCGTTTATTTGCCATGTGTGTAGTACAATCCTTTAGTGCTGATCTCTGAATAAGCATGCAAATCTTTTGTGATTGGTTTCATTACATAATTCTCTTTTAAGGAATAGCTGTTCTTCAGTTTGTTGCTTGCTATATGTATATTGCAAAATGAATTTAACTTTTTTTTTTCTATATCCTATTTTAAATTGTAACTTTTTATAGATCACTTGGTCTAAGAAGAATTGAGTAGCTTCCTTTAGTTTCTTGAATCCTTTGTGATGTCTGTTTTGAAAACATGATACGTTTACAGAAACTCACACTGAAGTTAAAAGTCCTTCTTGAATACTTAACATTTTTGTAACTCTTAAGTGCTTATTTCAGTCTCTCATTATGGATTTAAGACTGTAAGTTCAGATTACAATTTTTTTTTTCATTTCTGTTATCTCTTTGGTCTTCTGAGCACTTATGCTCCCTTTCATCTCTGCTTAGTGTTATTTGTGAGTTTAAAAATGTGTTTTTTGATCTTTCTGAAAGAGTTAATTAGCAAAATACCTACAAACCCAAATTTTCTACAGCCTTTGCAATTTTTCATCATGTAATGCATGAGTTAGCTGGGGAGTTGGATATTCACCGATTATCCAATGCTGTAAATAACAGCATTCAGCTACTCACGGTCATAAATTTATGTGTTAGACAAACTAGAATTAAAGTGAAAGCTAGCTGAATTCTACTTGGTATTATCATGTATTTTTTACTTTTTGGGGCACTTAGCCAGAACTAAATTGTTTGAATGAAAGTATATCTCCGTAAGCCATTCTGAATATACATTTTTAGAAATGTCTGGGAATATGTTTCAATATTACATTTATCTTAGTTACCTAAGTTTTCCTATCAGGAAAAGGTTCTTCACCAAGAGGGTGGTCAGACACTGGAACAGGATCCCCAGGGAAGTGTTTATAGCACTGAGTCAACCAGAGTTCAAGTGTTTAGACAGTGCTCTCAAACATATGACAATGTTTCTTTGGGTGATCCTTTGGGGACCCAGGAGTTGAACTCAGTGATTTTTGTGGGTCTCTTCCAACTTGGAATATTCTATGATTCTGTAATTCGACATATCATTATTCAACATATCATTTAAACCCACATTTAAATGGGTGATGATGGGTAAACCTTTAATAAATGGAAATGTCCCTTAAAACAAATTTAGATACATTGCAATTATTGTGATTTTTTTTTTCTGATCCTTTCCAGCTTTTCTCATTAACTAGAATTATAAGATAATTTGTGATGATATGCAACTGTTAACGACTACATTTTAAACTTAAACATACTATGATTGTTACGGGGTGAAAACTGTAATAATGACAACTGTCTCTTTGGATTCCAGTATCCCTTTGTATTATGTTTGTTTCCCTTCCTTAAGGGGAACCTCCTCAAAATGTCATTCATGTTCTCCTGGTGACCTTGCGCACTATGATATTCAGACAGTTTCACTCATCTTTAAGTATTGTAGTATTTCTCTGATATACACAGTAGAAGAAAATCTTGACTTATATAGGTGCTGGTAGTGATCTGTGATCATTAGCTATCTCTGCTGAAAAAGTCATAAGAGGTTACAGAGAATCAAAAGATGAAAGAAATACACAGGATAATGGGGAGAAGGCAGTAGTCAGGATAATGGGGGTATTCAGAGTGGATGTAACAGCACTATAACCATTGTCCATGGTAGCATCATTAGTAACAGAAAAGAACTCCAACAGTTTAAATTAATCTTCAGGAATCAAAACAAAAGATGTGAGGAAATGTAAGTTGAGTCTTGTCTCAACAGTTTTTAGGTTATAGCCCATGTCACTAAATTCAGTTTCATAACAGCAGATGAAGAGGTGCTTACGCTTTTATGTTTTGCCTAACCACTAACAGGAATGAAGGATTCTTCTGTTTTTAACTGAGATTGGAAAGAATCTTTCCTTTTCAGAAATTCAAGACCAAATAATGAACTAGCCACCATTCTAGCCTATAAACCTTATTTTGCAAAAAACATGAAGATCCCCTTTGAGGATCAACAAAAATCATCCAAAACCTGTAATATTTAATTATTTTAAAAACAGCCATCAAAGGAAAAAAAAAAAATCCTGTAGAAAGGATCAAGCAAAAACCTTCAGTACTTGCTGTATGTGAGCATGCTTAAAACTGTATTTCTTTATTAATCAGTTTTATAATTTCTCAGTTTCAGTTGTTTCTAACCTTTTGTGTTTGCTTACTTTTAGCAATAATTAAAAAGCAAAACTCAAAATATTGAATGGAACTTGAATGAAATGATTAATGGAAATCTAAATATTAGAACTGTGTGACTAAAAATGCCTACACTTCATGAGGTGATGGGACTACAAATATACTATCTAAAATTGCTTTAATTTTCTAGTCTGAAAAAAACTTTCTTTAAGGAAATTGATAACCTTGAAAGTTAGCATTAAGTAATGGTTTAAGTTTTAATTTTTAATGAGAAATTGCTCATAATATAACAGAAAGAGAAAGTATATGACCTTTATATACTTTTACTTATTTTACTGCATGCATTGTATTCAAGTGATGTTTCTCACTTGACTGCTAAAATATAAAAAGTTTGAAATGGTGAACCTTAGATTTTGAGTCCCTTTATACCCTGAAAAGAAGTGGTGATAGAACTTTCTCTTCTAGAAATCTTCAGTCCCTTTTGCAGTAGGTGATTCATCTCATCCAAATTCAATCATGTAGAGTGTAAAGATCTGATCTAAACTTATCAAATTCTACATTCAGTGACTGAAGATAAAAAGAATTCCCAAAGTCTGTTCATCAGTCTCATGGAAAGGAGCTAAGAAAGCTGTGAGAAAACTTTTTTTTTTCTTCCCCAATATACAGAAGTTAAAACTAAATTAACAATCAGATTCAGTTAATAAAATTAGATCTTTCTGATGTCTAAATTTAGGTAAGGTGATTGCCTTCTTCAGAATTCAGCTAAATTCTGAAACACTGCTTTGAAACACACAGAAAAAAAAAGGCTATTTGATAATAATGTTCACTGGTTCCAATTGGTGCAGATAAAAAGCATATATGATTAGACAGAAACTAAAACCAAGTTCACTTTATTCCTCTGGCAGCACTTAATGAAATAACTTCATAACTAGTAAATGTCACAATAATCTGCTCCCAACTGTTGTACTGGTTTGGATGTTCACCATTTTATTATGACTCAGGGTTTTCTAAACCCTTATGGTTTAGAATTCATGAAGACCTGCTAATCCAATGTAAAAGTTATATTAAAAAAAAAAAAAAAAAAAAAAGCAGTTCTTCATACAAAACAACAGGAGCAAGATTCAAATACTATAGGTGAGCTTTGTGCTATTATCAATACAGAAAAATATAATGCATTATTACACCATTCTTTCCTGATTATGTTTCTTCCACAGAAGTCGGATGTTTTGTAGCCAAATTTTGCTTTTGCTAATAATTTAAGTGACATTTTCTGCTTTCTTCCTTTGAGGGGCAAGGCAGGAGAAGAAAACAAAGCTGCATCTTGCCTCGTATTTTAAAGCATCCAAGCATCTATTGCAGTCACCAAAATACTTACTTCCATGTGCTAAAAGCTTCAGTTTAGTCACATTTTTCATATATTTATACAGACCTTCCTATACATTCACCAAGAGCTAGTATTGTGCTCTAAAATATGTAATCAAAATAATGTGTATTCCCTTGGTATTTTTCATACTCATAGGTTCTCTTTTTCTTAACCTATGTATGTTAGATACTGTTTTTAAAAGAAAACAGATTATCACATTGTGTCATGACCTAGACTTTAGGAAAAATATTCAACTATCATTCTAACTGTTAACTTCTAACAGCCTGTAATATGAACAAGATAATGTAACAAAAAACACATGTAGTAACATCTTCTATCATTATGAAGCACACAGCTGACAAGATTTTAAATTCAAATTTTGTAAACACATAGTCCTTTTCAGTTTTTAATATAGATATAAAGATATTGATGGCCTACTGTATATAAACTCAAATCTGAATTTAGGAACAGATCTTGGGTCTGTTGGTTCTAAGAGTTTTATTAAATTGAGATGTGCTGCTGAATGCCTCTGGGTTTAAGAAGGTTTTGTGTGTTAGCATATTTTAAAATAAATATGCTTATGTACCTCACCACAGAGATTACAAAGAGGTTTCCATCATGTGGTAGTAATAATGGAAAAAAAATCAATGTAAGTATATAATACCTTTTAATTATTGCAAAAGTCATGTAGATGCTGTTTCTGGAAAAACTGAATGCTATTTGACAGACTTTTCTAGATGTTGGATATTAAATGTAGTTAACGCTTGCTTATACTTAAAGCATCTGATAGAATAATGATTGGTGAAATCTTTATAATATTTTCATCTTTATATGATTTTAGAATAAAGAATAATTTGTTCTTAATACTGTATTTTGATATTATAGGTAAGCACACTAGACTGGGTACGAGCTGAAAAAATCTATAACCTCTGTGAGGTTCTATTTAAAATTCACAAGGTAGGTTTCCTAACAATTACATTATATAGTGAAAAAACCTTGCCTCTTCCTGTTAATTATGAGCTCAATTCAATCACAACTAGGAGTAGCTAACATATAAATATCTTATATGTTGTTATAAAACCTTTTTGCAGTGGCTATTGCATTACCTGTATAAGACACTGGAAAATGGATTAAGCTCCAAGTGAGCCAGTTCATAAAATTCTTCCAAATTAAAGATTTATTTTTTTGTGTGTGTGAGAACCAGTCAAATGAAATAACAGTTAATCATAATGACTCTGGATATTGTATATTTTTAGTAGCTTAGCTTTTTAAGTGAATGTAATGAAGAATGCTTTCAGTGTAATTGCTGATGTACATAAAAATGCTTTTATTCAAGTTTGAGTAATAAGAAGTAGACAATTCTGTCATTCTTAGATCATGGCTAATTTGATAACATGATAGTTGGTTTTACCTTAAAAAGGGCAACATGTTCCATTTGTGCACTATAGAATTATTTTTTCTACCATCTAGAGATGTTGTCATGTTTTCTGTTTAGCTTGTCCCAAGGAAGGATTTAGGGCAAACTTTTAGCAGTCTGTTTAAATAATTCCCTGGGGTGACAGGGAGTTTTCATGTCCTGACTGCTCAAACTACTTGTACTAATCTGACTTTCCACAACAAGGGCATATGTCCTACACCAATTCTGTGAATTGTGATTTTAAAATAAATTGGAAATCTGATGAAGTTAAAAACAGGGCCACAAGCACACGGAACTGAAACAACAAAACAAAATAAAAAGGAAAATTGCTCTCAATTATGAGCTGATAACTGCATTTTCCAGAGGTGTCAATGCCATTAACTGGCTGCTAACAGAGCCTGATGTCAGTTGCCAGTTTTGCAGTTGTAACAGATAGTTCAGCAGTTCCAGCCCATCACTGTCTGTCTTCATTCAGCCTGCTTTCACTGGGCAGGGGGTCATGATTTTAGCAGAAGTGGAAGAGGGAAGAGTCCTGGCCAGTGCCATGCCAAGAATCTGGCAATCCTCAAGTTCAGGACTAGAGCTGAGCTCCAGAGCACAGGCTGCAGGAGTTCAACCGTATTTCTGTGTGAATAGTATTATTTTAACGTGACCTTATCTCCAACTGGATATCTATGGGTAACTTCAGATTCTGACCAGCACTGAGACAGCTGCAAAAAGCAGAGAATTTAACCCTGCTTATTGATTCTGTCTCCTTAAATTTTCTTAAAATTCACATTTTTCCAGATAAATAAGTTGGGCAGCAATAAAGCAAACGTTCATTATGTTTTTTTAAAAGGTTTTACGCTGTCATGGGTTTTGTTTTTCCTTTTTTTCTCCTTGAAATATTAGTGATTTGAAACTCACTCCTTCCTTCAATATTCTGGTAATTTCAAGGACAATGTAAAATTGTCTTTAAAGTAAATTCTATGATACTTTTTCATTATGAAAAAGAAGTAGGAAATAAACTATCAAAGATTAAACTTTTTAATGTTCTTGACATTTTAATAAATGAATGCTTAATTACCAGTCTTCATGAATACATTAACTAAAGTGCAAAAGCTCAAATTCAACACTTTAACCTCTTTTCTGTAGATTCTTTGATATAAATGACAGCGAGGCCAACTGAGCAAATCCAAGATGGAAATAATCTCAAGAAATTAAAGTTTCTATATTGCAGACCGAAAGGTGGAGCTTATGTTGTAAAAACTGCAGTTTGGGAGAGTGTTTTTAAGGATTTTGGGGAGCTTGTAAGATCTAGCGCAAAGCTGTGATGTAGAGTGTTTTTGTATTTTCTTAAGAAAGCTGGTTAGGGCATCTTGCAAGGGCAAGATGCCCTTGTTACTCACTTAAATGTAAGCTTCTTACCTATCTTCATTATGCCATAAGAGCTGAAAATGGAAAATAAGAATTTGATACGGGAATGGCATTTTAAAATCAACGTTTGCTGTATTTTAGGCTTATGTGTGTATGTATATGTGTATGTGTATTCACATACGTATGCAAGTATGTGAATTAAAATTTATATATCACATACTTGCATATACATGGACATTTAGTGGTAACAACCAGGTGTTTTAAATGTTTCTCATTTATCACGTGTTTCCTCCTAAGCTTGCTTCACACTCTATATTTACTGGAACTGTTACTGAAAACCTGTATTTTTCAGAGGCAAGAACATGATACGTATTTTTAAAAGCAGCCTGTCTTAAAAAACATTTTAACTTTTTTATTTACTTGTTTATTGCATAGTATTTTCACACATCACATTTCTAAATATAAAATATAAAATATAAATGTATTAGTCTAATTGCTAGGAGTCTAATTGCAGTATTGAGTCTTGAAGCAGGTGTAGGCTTAATAACTGTTACTCCAGATAATGTGCAGTTATCCTTTTGTTCAGTTTTGTTTTGTTCAGTTTCCTTTTTACCAGTCCAAAGAAGTGGCAAAAAATAGCTTTGAAGTACCTCAAGACCTCTCTGCTAGGCTAGCTGTAGGGCCTTTTGTGACAACACAGCGTCATGTGCCCTGGTGGCATTATGTGCTGCCTCTGAGATATTCCCCAATGCATTCATAACTTAACAGAGTAAATTGCATAGAGTTACATATGCTAGCTTTATGTTATTCAATAATTCACTAGCACAATCAACATTTCCAGTTCTCATGTGAGTATATCCTGTTTGCTGAATCCATATTAATGGAAGCAGTACACATGCACCGGTAGATGATTTGTTACCTCTGCTTTTTATTACTCAAAAGTCAATCTTCACTGCTGTCCTGTGAGGGTGGTTGTGTGTGCATCTAGGGCAGGAGGGTTGCAAGACCCTGAACTTTTAAACATTTATCTTACATAAATCAAAATATTTCAGGTTACATTTTCTTGTACAAGTCCCAATTGATTGTTTTTATATGCGTAGAGTTTCAGCTTCAGGCTTTGGTAGACTATAATACACTGTTAGAGGCCCTAGGAAAATAAGATTCTTCAAAAGGTTTATCCTTACTACAAGATTCTAGGACTTGTGTACCAGTAGAGAGCTGTGTTCTGGTCTTTTCAAAACCACCTAAGTCCAGTCCAGCACTATGCTTTTATCTCAGATCTGTTTGACTCAAGTTCCTAAACTTAACGTGAAGTACTGGAGAAATAAAATTGTTTGCGGCTAAATCTTGAAAATAAGAAATAAGATTCTATTTGTAAATTCCTTCATTATTTTTCTATATTCTCTGCCCCATGTCATCATAGGAAAATAGAGATAGGAAAGGGCTCTGATAAATAGACATTTTAAAAATACATAACTTGGAAAATCAGTCAGTAGTCAATAAAAATACTTAGATGTATAAGCTTTTAATTTAGTTTTGTTTTTCTCTATGTTTATGTTAGTCAGTGAACACTGGAAAGATTAGGGAAGCTTCTTTTAAGAATTTGTTTTCATTTACAAAACCTTCTGTTAGGGGGATACTTTATATTATGAAAGACTAACGTGAAATTTCTCATCCTTTTCATCCTGAAGGTGATGACAGGATCTCACTTCATTCCACTTGTAGTTGCAAAGCAGCACTGGCAGCTATTAGGGAATATTTGAAAGCTGGCATCATTATTTCCAGAATTAGCCCATATGCTTGATAAATTACTGCATCTCTGGGTGTTCAGTTTGGAACCCAATTAAAATGGAGTAGTTATATTCTGCTAGAAGGCTGATAAACAGCTCTTGAACTGTATTCAAACAATTTAGGAATTCCCTTCCTCTTCAGTGTAAAGAACATATTGCTACAAATTCCTTTTAAATTATGTATGCATTGCTTGTACAATTTTGACAGTAATTCTGAACTACAGAAGTAGCTTAGATTATATGATACAGGGTAAGGTGAATAAGCAGTGAGAGAAATTGACTTTGCCAGTGTTGCTTAATTCTCAGAATATTTCTTCAAGATAATTATTAACATAATGATGTAACATATCCAAGTACCCATCACTTACAGAAGACAATGTTACTTTAACTGTTTGTTTTTGCTAGATGAAGAATCACATACTGAAACATGTCTTTCAGCTCTGGCTTGCTGATGATTGCTGGCTACAAGCAAACTTGTATTTAGGTATTCATCAGGACTTTGATCTTGAAGACCACAGGCCATATTGTTTCAGTGTTATGGTTGGACATGGCAAGAGTCATTATTTCAATGTAGAGCTATGCAGCGAGTTGGCAGTGTGGGAGAAATCATTTCAAAGAGCAATTTTCTTGGAAGTTCAAAGAACTGGGGTAAGTAATGAATAATTTAAATCCTGGAGCCATTTCATCAGTAAAAGAAGTGTAACAAATCTTTAGATAGTATGCCTATGTAATAACAATCTGTGAGTATAGTTGATCTTAATTACATAAAACTGGAAATTGATACATTTTGCCACTGAAAAACATTTTTGTGGAGATTTTGTAGACTACTTTGAACATTTTCATAAACCTCACATAAGGTACATTTGTTTTACATTATGGTTCTATTTTCAAAAACAGAAATATTTTGCTTTTACATTGTTAATTGAAAACTGGGGATGACTATGTTAACACTGGAAGAATTGGAAGAATCAGAGTAAAAGAGGAAAGTTTGTTGTATTAAATCTTAAACTCTGTATATTAAACAACAGATTACCAATTTCTCCTGGTTAGTAAAATTCTCTCAAGCCAATTATTTCATTAGACCTGAGGATGCACTTCTCATTAAATGGTTTGGTGTTTAAGGTTAGGGTCTCTAGTTTAGCTGTCTAAATATGTGTCTGTTAGCATTGTGGTGTCTAAGTTCCCATTAGAATCAGCGTGATTCTAATCAGTGAGATCAGAGAATGAATGTAATCATCCTAAAGTAAATATGTTGTTCTAAAGAAGATATTTTGTGGCATGAGGACAGAGAACATCTATGGATTTTTAGTTAAGTTGTAGACTAAAGCAACTCTGTACTGTTACATAAAAAAGTTGTTTGCTGTACATGTGGATCCAAGTGAACTGGTTCAGTGGTATGGGAATATATGGATTAAAAGTATAGGCATTCTCCAATGATAAACATATTTACATAGTGCAAATGCAAGCTTGATCTGGCATGTGCTGATTGACAAGGACCTCCTAAAGATGTTTGCACTAGCAGGAGCAATGGATCACAGCACTGCATTAACACAACATGCGAGGAACAGGAGTCTTAGAGTAGCTGTTGAATCAGCTCTTCTAAATTTCCAGGTCTCTGGGATACTAAGGAGGTTTGCAGGCGCTCGCATAGAACAGTTCTAGTTGTCTCTTTGAACTGATGGGGTGACAAAAATGATTTTGTAATGGTGATGCTGTTGCTCCTGCACCTCTGAGAAGGAATGCAGTTCTTCAGAAAAAATAAAAATAAATAAATAAATAAATAAAATGATTCTTCCTGAAAAATCATGCATGTCAGGGAGGGAATCATAATGCTAACTGAGTATACATAAAATATTTTATCACATAAATTCTTCAAGAAATTATGGTGCATCTGTTTGACCAACCATTCAATTATCCTATTTATCATATAAAAAGCAGATAATATTTCTTTAAAATTAAGTGCAATAAGGGTGGATATCAACTTGTTCTGTAACTGATTTTTTCTGAAGAGTTTATTGCTGAAACTCAAAACTTTTTGTTCTGTTGCATGCTAACAATCTTTAAATTAAGAGATGTTCTTTTGCTTATGCAATGACCTTTTGTCTTTTCAATCCAACAAACTGCTAGACCAATATCCATAAACGAAATTAATATTTCTTCCATCATTGGTTTAACCTATCTGAAACCTCCAGGAGAGGCATTCTATTAAAATCCTGATTTCAATGCTTAAGTCTCCATGTCTATTATCATTTTAATTTTCAGTTGTATGCATAAAAGTTTGCTGAAAACTGCTGTGTCGCTAGGCCGAAAAGTGGTGTGGTCATTCTTAAGCAGTGCAAAGTCTTCCTTCAAAACATGAATACTGCTTGCATGCCCTGGTTTTCAGATAGATATCAAGGGCAGCATGAATGATATGCATTCTTAAATTGCATATATATTTATGCAATTTAACGTTGCATAGATTATTCCAAGCCATAGAAAAAGAATTAACTTTTCAGTACTCAGAAGATTAAAAGCTGTAACCTATAGGTTAGATTGTCCATAAAATAAATAAATAAAAAAATATATATATATTTTTTAATAAAAAACATAATTGCACTGGGAAATTCATTTTTATTCATAAGTGTTTGGGGTGGGGTTGGATATCATTTCAGCTACGGGGTTGTGTCATTTCAGCCATTCGTATTTAAACTTGGCTTCCTTCTATTTGCTTTCAATGGCAATTAGAGTCTTGTCTTTGTCAGAGTTGTTGTTAACCATATCCTGAACCTGTTCTTTGGCTATGGTATTTTTATAAGAATAGTAGTTCTGAGAAAATTCTGTCCTTACACAGTCTAAGAGAAGCAATGTTGTTAAGGTGCGATGGTATGTTCAAAATTGTGATTTGTTATACATTTCTTCTGAAAGTGTTACCAGTTTTAAATGATGGGAAGAATGTAATAGGGCAGGAAGAAATTCCCCTCACAACATCATTTCCCTTTCAGGTATCCTAAAGCCCTAGTTCAAGCTGCAAATGTTTACAGACATGATCCTACCACAAAACTCTAAATTACTCTTACTTTTATTCTTACTAATTCTTTGACCCTTAGTACTGGCATGCTAAGGGTAAAATTATCCACTGCAGCATCTCTGAAAAACCTGCAGTTGATTAATAGTGAGGAGGCACAGTTACATACTCTCATCATTTATCTAGAAACTTTAAACATGAAAGTAAATTTTCCCTTCCAGCTGTGTTGCAAATGCTGCAAGTGCTGTCCCATAGTGCTGGCTAACCTAGTTTCGTGAAAGCATTTACTTTTCTTGGACAAAAAAAAAAAAAAATTAAAATCGGTCAGATGTTGATCTCTAACCATTCATAATAGAATAATTGAGAGGTTTTGCTGAATGCGTACTTTCTGTGCAAAAAGGTAATTACTTCTAGACAATTTCTTTCCATTGACAGACAAATTCTGGAAGTCAAAATAAAATAGGTATTTGTTGAGGACAGGGATATGAATGAGATAAGAGACACATGAGGAGTGAAATTCAGTTTCTGGAATGAAATACATTCTTCCTGTCAGGAAAATACTTTAAAAATAACAAGACACCAATCATTTTTCATGAACAATGTTATCATATTTCACTTAAATTCATGTCATGTGAATCATGATTGGAAATCCAAAAACTGTATGAGCATAAATGTACAAAACAAGTATCCTTTTTTTTTCACCCTTTGTATTCTCATTAACACTTAATAATTAACAACTTCCCTGGCTGTTTTATCTTCTTCTGTATGCATTTTTAACATTTATTTACTTTCCTAAGAGTTAGCAACAAACAATTCTTCATAATGAGATTCTTGATGCTGAACATGTAAGCCAGACTGGCTCATTGCGATGCAGAATTGGTTGCTGATTATGTCTGCTCCTGACTAACTACAACAATGATTATTAGGAATAATTGTGCATTCAAACCCAGGGCATTATTTCTATAGGATTCCCATATGAAGCTTTCATTTTATTTTCAAAACTGGTTTTCTGTTAATACACCATGATTAATATTCCTAAAAAAAATAAAGCAATACTTAAAACAAATGCGGTTAGTTAATTCCTTTTCTGTTTTGTAAGCAACAATAAATTTCTTTTCAATATTACTCTGTCCTGCCAATCTGTGAACATGAGCAGTGTTGCACAGTTATGAAAGATGACAGGCATGAAAGTAACATATATCACAGCATCCCTAGTTTGTGAGCTTCCTATGTCAGATTTTAAAATTTTCCTCTATACACTGTACATGTATGTTATTCAAGACGATCTACATGAAATGCCTGACAAGTCTAAAACCATTTTATTGATGATTAAAGCAAGAGGAAAACAACCAAACAACAAAATCCTGTAATTATTTTAAAGAAATTGTTTACACAATTATTTTCTTTGTTTATCTTCGCTTTTTTGCTTGATGGCCTACCTCTGATTTTGTTGCTGGTTGTGGGTACTTTTTGTTATTCTCTCTTCTATTCATCTTTTCAAATTTCCTTGTATTAACTTTTCTTAAATTTCATCCGTTCTGCAGTTTTAATTCATTTCTAATCCAAGTTGTCTTCCATGAAACAGATACTGTTTATTGTATAAAAGTAATATTGTTTATTGCATAAAAGTAAAGAAATTAGTCTGTGCAGTCTCATCATTCCTGCAAACTACATGCTGTTTGTTCTGGACTATTACTTAATTTTTCATGCGTATTTGTGTTAAAAATGCTCTGAAAGGGTTCACTAGAACTAATTGAAAATATACAGAACTGATTTCAGTAATCTTCTCAGGAAAGCAGTATTTCTCGGAATTTACCTTCAGGTGCATATATAGTCAACTGACTATATTGTATTTAATATCAATACAATAGTGACTATATGAATATATTCACTGTAGGAAGACACTACTTCCTAACCTTCTGGATGCACTAATTTTTTGAAAAGTTAATAAATAAATAAATAAATAACTGCACTGACTTTTAAAAAACTACATTTTCATCAAATTAAATGAATTAATAATGAAGTAAAGGAATAAAGTGTATTCCATATTTGGAGCAGCTCCAGAAAGACACAAAATTGATTTATATATTTGGGGGGTTATTCTCAGCCTACTGGAGATAACAGTAAACTCCCATTGAAATTCCTTTAAGTTAAAGGCTTCTAAGCAGCTTCTAAACATTTTTTTTTCTACTGAACAGCAGTACAGTCTTGCACCTAGTTTTGTTTTATTGATATATATCTCTTAGCCTATACATATGTTTCCAATTTTGTTGTTGTTCTTTAGGTCTTATTATTTCTATTCAAAATAAAAATCTCTAAGGACCAATACCTGGGTCAGAATGTAGTAAGTATATTATTAGTATATTATATAATAACTACTCTGTTATTAAACCAGGACAATATTTTTAGTCTGAAGTAATATAACTGAAGATGTATTGGAATGCCAATTGACGTTATTTTATGGACAAAAGATTTTATTCCAAATGGCCCAAGATCCAGATGAGATTATATGTTGCACAAGAAGAATAGTAGAAAAGTATACACATAGATTTCTATAATACATTTTACCAAGTGGACTGATAATTTCAGTTGTTCTCTTTTCTTATGAAACTCACTATGCATGCCAAGTGTTTTTTAAAAA